GAACCCTCACACTTACCCTCCTGGACCTGTGTACACCTAAATTCCATTACGTTGCCATATTTGGATCTCTCCACAGCTGGTTCCATACTGGGAGAAGACATTTGACATCGACTTGTCAGCCCCACAAATAGGAGTCGTCAATGTTACTGATGTGAGTTTCCTTTCTTCAACCCCCGATGGAACCCCAACTCTGTTTCTCAGGGTAGCTAGCTCTCCTCCCCTCTGCTAACTAGGAACTGAACCCTTCCAAGGAGAAGCAGACATGCCCAGGGGGAGAGTCATGATGTGCAATTGCCTCGTCCCTATCCATTGGAATTGGTTGTTCTTTGAAAGCCCCGTTTACTTCCTTTGCCCTCCATGAAGTCTTGGAATCATCCCCTCCCTCAGGCACTCTCCCAGCTCATCTGGCATTGAGAACATGACTTCCATACGACTACATATGCATCCTATCTCTTCCAGCAGACCTGGAGCTTTTGGAGGGCAGAAATCTCATGTATCATACAAGTACATGCTTCAAAACTATTGAGTTGAATTGAATAAGCCACAGCCTTTGCTTTCATAGAATTATCAGCCTAGTTGGGAGGAGAAGTATTCCATTAACTATAAGCTTGGATTGGATAAACTTTTTAAAAATAGTACTGGAAATGAAAGCCAAGGCCTTCACACAGGGCCACATCCCCAGCCCATCCCCACCAGGCCTGGCTTGTTTGGATTGGATAAACTTTATAATAAAGATACAAATAAAATGTTCAGAAGGCTCAGAATCAAAATGATTTCTACTTGAGAGGATCAGATGAGTTTAAAAGAATGTGGCATTAAAATGGACATTGTACAGTGTATGGGATTTCAACATGTGAGAGTTAAGAGAAGTCACTTACAAACTCAGGAAAAAAACAAGATTGAATGATGAACAATATAAAAATGAATATCAGGTTTGGGAATAAGCAAGTAGTTTCTCATGATTTGAGAGTCTAGAGATCACTGAAGTTGGTACTAGAGAAGCAGGTTATGAAAAGCTCTGAATACAGAAGAGTCACTGATTTTATTCTGTTGACCATGAAGAGCCACCAGTGGTTTTGCACCAAGGACATGACAGAAGGTCTGTTTCTGAAAGCTCAGTATGGCAAGAGCATGGGAAACACATTGAAGGGAGGTCTTTTGGGAATCCAACGTTTCTGTCCATTCCCACTTGTCACTATTCTAACCTAGACTTTCACCTGGACGGTTTCCCTGGCCATAAAAGATAGAGGATGTAAGGGAGGATGTACAGAGCCCAGTGAGTAAGAGGACAGGTCGAAAGACCTAGGTGGGACTTAACTTTGGTTCCCCGTGTGTGCCATCCCCTAGGCGGATAGCATATGGATGGAGATGGATGATGAGGAGGACCTGCCTTCTGCTGAGGAGCTGGAGGACTGGCTGGAGGATGTGCTGGAGGGTGAGATCAACACAGAGGATGACGATGATGATGACAATGATGATGATGATTAGTTGCTGTGGCAACCATCTCTAGCCCCACCTGATCTTTTCATGTACCTTCCTCCCTTCGCTGTCTTTCCCTGAGTTCCTCTGGGGACACTAGGTTATTCTTTACCATAGGGACTATTGGAGCCTATATATATTGGGTGCTGAGATCCTGATCACCCTCAGGTGATGAGGAAAGGAGCTACTTTTCCCTAGACACTAGTGCAGCTCTGTCCTCTGACTTTTGGTTCTTATCCTGCAACTTACCTGTATTTGTTACTTGTTTCTCCCATCATGCTCCATCTTCTTTCTTGTGGTTCTCTTCTTTGCCATGTCTGTGGGTGTCATCTCTATTCTGTTCCTTCTTTGTAGTCTTCCCCAGTCTCTCAAATCCTAAATCCTTCTGACTGTTCTGTCCCTGGCCAGGAGGAAGAGAGGGTACTGTGTTTGGGGCTGTATCTCAGCCATTTCTTGTTAATGTATTTGGGTCAAATGCAAGGCCTCAATAAAGAGATCTGGGGCAGCATGAGCAAGTGTCTGTTGATGAAGTCTCACCCCTATGGCAAGAGGGAGGTAGGCAGAGGAGCTAAGCTTTAGGTGTGGGTGCCTTGTTAGGAATGAGCTAGGGAACCATGATAGGAGGGGGTTGGGGCTCTCTCCAGGCAGTTTTCCCAGAGAAGCCAGGATTATTTATCAGCTTTAAGTCAATAAGCCTTTTCTGAACACATGGCGTTTGTCCAGGGCTGCTATTGGGCTCTGGAAGGGCAGAGAGTGCCAGACCTGGTCCCTGCTCTTCAGCTGATTAGCCACACTGAGAAGTCAAACAGGAGCACTAAACAGTTGAAGAAAAATACAAAGAAGTATGTAATTAAGTGATTATGTGCTGCTTGATAGCACCCTCCCTGCAGCTCTTATTTGAACCTCGAGACTGAGGCCCAACTATTCTTCCTCAGTGGGGCCTTCCCAGAGGTGGTCCCCCATCTGGGTTCCCACTGCGCTTCTGATGTGCGCCACCATCGCAGTACTCAGCACATTCTACTGTAGCTCTTCATTTAAATGTCTGTGTCCCCCCACTAAACTGTGTGCCCCTCGAGGGCAGCAATCCAGGATTTTTCTTTATTTTCACAGGGTCTGGCATATAAAACGTTCCCCTAATGTGACAGTTAAAAGAAGGAACAAGTGAAAAAACAGACCGGGCCTAGAGAGAGACCAGAGTGGGCTTGATGACTTTATAAAGGAAGTGAGCTTTTTCTACGTCTTAAAGAGTGGGATTTGAGTGGAGGCAAAGGAGTTGAGAAGGGGTCATTTTAGTTCCTGGAAACATCGAAAGCACTGGTGGGATGTGTTTGTCTTACTGAGGGCAGCAGAGGGACCATGGAGACAAGAGGAGAAATTCAAGTTGTGGCCGTGAGGACTGAGTAAACATAATGGGGCTGTTTTGCAGAAAAGTTTGAACTTAATCCTGTGAGCTGGCTGGAGGAAGGGCAAAATTTCATTTGGTACTAATGATGAGCAGGATGGAATTGGGGAGGAAAGAGGATGGGGATGCCAGAGGGAAGGAACTGGACTCACACTCAGAGACTGTTATAATAATCAGTGTAAAGTTGGGAGAGCCTGGACCTAAGGGGTAGCCATGGAAAGAGCGAGATGTTGACTTTTGTACTGTGGGGGCCTCTAGGCCTGGGGCTGTCGGAATTCTTTGTGGAAAGACTTCACAATCTCTCCATAATAGGACTACAATAGGCTAGGGTAAGCATAAAGGAATTGGAGGCAGGGAGGACCAAACTGTCAAACGAACCCATATATAATAGACGATATAATTTTCACGGAGCAGGTGTACAGGTATTGCCAAGAGACTTAGAGGATTTCTAAGTATGGAAAAAAGAGACCTAAGGTTACAGAAGTTTTCATTCTCCACAGACAAATCCAGGAAGTGTTCCTAGAGAAGTTGGCAAGTGTGGAGACTAGAAACAATGTATTCATCCAACTTGTACCTATTTAATGAATGTTTAATAAGTAGTATGGAAAGTAGGCTAATATTATATAAAATATTATGAAGCTTACTCTCTAGCATAGAGAAGTGGAAGACCCTGAACTAAATAATAGTTCTTTTTTTAAGCACCCATCTGTGCCTCAGCCCCTAGAGACATACTATTTCTGACTCTCAGAACTATATAAAATAGGCATTGGTAATGGCATCTTTCGGGTAAAGATACGGAGGCTTAGGGGCACAATTTACCTGAGGAAAGAGTGGCGCAAGCATGAAGCCCAAGTGCCCTGTGCCTGTGGCCTGTCTATTTCACATAAACATGACATGTCTGCAGATAAGTCATGTAGTTTCTCTGCATTTCAAAGATGGATCAAAGAACTAGATTTTGGCCTTACAACAACACAGAGTGAATGAGATACACACTCAAAGGCAAGTTATATGGGTGTGTGTGATGCTCAAAGGGACAGTGACAGGGCACACTGTGGGGGAGGAAGAAGCAAGAGACAGGCTGTGAAACCCAAGGCAGCAGCAGCCCGTGCTACTTCTAGGGGTAGGGTGGACCCAAGAAAGGAGAGCCCACCTGGGGCTTCCGGACAAGTCTCTGCAACACGGGGACTGAGAAACACCGGGAGGCTCCGGGAGGTGGTGCACACCTCTTCCCTGGGCCAGATCCTCCCCGGCAGGATGGAGATGGGGTGAAAACAGATGCTTCCCCAATTCTCTTTCCTCTTTCAGTCTGGCTGAGAGTCTGGGGGAGGAAAGTCCCTGGGGTGGAGGGGAAGTGCGAGCTGTCATGCTGGGCCTGGGCAGAGGGGCAGAGCTAGGAAACAGAGCTAAGTGTGGCTTTGTTAGTTGTCTATATTTGCATGCTGAGCTCACTGCTGCTCTTTTTCTCCCCAGAAAATAAAATTACATCATGGTGGGGGGAAGGAGGGGGTATCTTTGGGAAAGGTGAGAGCAGCACAAAGACAGCCAGGTGGCATCTCCTCAGAGAAGGTCCACGTCTCCAGGTCAAGTAAAGAAGGCCCCCATCTCTCCATGCCCTGATCCTGCCTCCACACCCAGTGCGGACGAGCCCGATGCCTGACTACCCTGACCTGATCCCTATTCCCCTGACCCAGACAGCTAGGAAAGAGGTTCCCCTCAAATGCCAAAGCAAGTAGCTAAGAGAACGCAGATGCCAAGGCCTTCTGAATCCCTAAACTCGAATTTACTCTTATGCCTCCCTGGGGTCCCAGCCACCACGGTCATCCAAAGGTCAGAAGTGGAGAAGGTGTCTCACTGGCAAGGAATGAAATCTAAAAACTGTGTTGCAGTTTAGGGGGCAGAAGAGGAAGTGTCCCTACTCTCCCTCAGCCCAATTTTGCCCCCACCCTAGGAGCCTTCC